TCTCTCTCTGGTCAAATAAAAAATAAATGAATGAATAAATAAAACTACATAAATAATTATATACAAAAAGATTTGCTAGAAGGCATATGTGCTCACCAAAGAGAGATGGGGAGGGGGTGAGAAGCACCCTCCGTGGGGAATGGTCACACTGCAATCCCTGCTCCTTCATCTTTTCCTCCTTTAGGGATTTTGGGCACTCATGCACATGTGTTGGCATGTTTCTCAAGATGCCGGGTCTGGGATCTGAGCCATGCCGTTGGCTGTGTGGGATCCAGCCCCTTACCTTTTAAAATACTGTTTTGTGGGACCAGCAGTTAGCGTAATGGCTATGTCGCTGGACTCCCATGTAGTCGAACGCAGTTTGCGTCCCGGACCCGGTGGCTTAAAAAACTCACGCCGGGTGCGTGTGCGTGCATGCCCAAGATCCCGAGAGGAGAATGGAGGAGAAGGGATTGCAGTGAGTGCACACGCCCTATAGCAAAAACCTCAAGAAGAAGAAAAACATGCCAAGTGTGTATGTGTGTTCTCAAAAATCCCTACAGGAAAAATGGAGGAGAATGAATTGTGGCATTGCTCTCCTCATGGGTGTTTGTTTTCTCACTTTCTCTCTCTCTTTCTGTCTTTCTCTGGTGAGTGCATGCACCCTTTGGCAAAAATTACAGCGTGTGTGTGTATACGTGTGTGCATGTAGATGCATGCATTTTCATGTGTGTGTATATATAGATAGATAGATAGATACATAGATACATAGAGAGCTAGAAAGAGAGAGAGAAAGCACTTCCTAGTGCTAGTGGAATGTGGTCACTCCATAATCCCTTTTTCTCCATTTCTCCATCCCATTAGGACTCTGGGCACCCATGCAGATGTTCCCAGCATGTTTTTCAAACTGCTAGGCTAGGATTCGAACCACAGTCAATTGTATGGGATCTGGCTCCCTACACACAGGGCTTAACCATTGTGCTATGAGACCAGCCTGACAGAATTAGTTTCTTATTGCTCCTGTAATAAACCGTCACACTCTTAGTGGCTTAAAATAGCACAGACATATTCTCTTACCACTGTGAAGCCCAGTTTCACTGGGCAGAAGCGAAAGTATCTACATAGAGGGCTGGTTCTTTCTGGAAGCTCCTGGGGAGAGTCCATGCCCTTGCCTTTTTGGGCTCTGGATTCAATCAGGACCTCTTATCTGGGAGGATAAAGAAACCTTTTGATTTCCTTGCCTCATGACTGCTTCCTTGAAGCCTCCTGACCTCTTCTTCCATCCTCACATCTCCTCCTGCCTCGAGGTGTCAAATCTCCCTGTCTCTCTCTTGTAAGGACACATGTGGTTACATCTGGAGTCCACCTGCATAATCTGGACTCTCTCTACATCTCAGACTCCTTACCTCAGTCACATCTGCAGTTCCTCTAGCTCCATGGGGAACCTCCTCAGGCTTTAGGGATCAGGATGCGGTGTCTGTAGGGCTAGTAGCCAGCCTAGCACAAGAGCCCTCTTGCTCCTGTTCTTCCTTTCCTCATCTCCATTTTCCTTCCATGGAATGTTCCAAATATGGAGTGTACATACTTCTGTGTGTGAGATTCATTTGTTTATTTATTTATCTATCTATTTATTTATTTACTATAAGGTGCATGCACTTGCCAAAAAGACAGAGAAAGAGAGACAGAAAGTGAGAAATCACCCCCCCCAGGGGGAATGGCCATGCCATAATCCCTTCTCCTCCATTCTCCTCTTGGGATCTTGGGCATGCATGCACACACGCCTGACATGAGTTTTAAGCCACTGGGTCTAGGACTTGGACTATGGGCGACCACATGGGAATTCTGTAACATAACCACTATGCCATCTACTGGTCCCCTGTGCTTGAGTTTTAAATGAAGCCAGAGACAAGGTCTGAAGAGCAAGACACATGTTGGAGGGCTTTTCTAGTCAGCCCCCAGGTTCCCATGGCAGCAGTCATGAAAACATTCGGGTGGAAGGGGATCAAGAGGGCTCCTGCCCTAGAGGCATCGGTGGCACCTTGGCTGGAATGACTTGTCCTGTGGAGTGAGGATGACGGTGGAGAAGCACATGTAGCAGCCATGGAGTTCAGTGACAAGCTTCACAAGCCTTCGCTGTGATTGTAGGCACTTTCTAATCCATGTGCCTCCGCTGGCCTTCTCAGGTTAACAGAGACATCTTCAGCCACAACCCAGTGCTGTACCTAGAAGAGCTTGGAGGGGGATGTGTGTTAGGATCTGCTTCTGCCCTACCTCGCTTTTCCTCCTTTGTTGATTCCCTCATCATCCCCACATTCCCCGCCTCCAACCCTGCCTGGCAGGGTCTGTAGCGCTGGGATGAGAGTCTGGGATGTTGTATGCTTTGCTTTTTATTTTATTTTGCAAATGCCTTCCAACACGCCCCTCCATGTTTAATGTCCCACTGCTGAGTGCATGCAGTTGCTGGGCAACAAGAAGGAAGTCCCTGTGTGATTCACCCGCTGCTGCCCATTAATTTGCTAGCTGCGTGCATCTCGGGGGGTGGGGGGGAGGCTTCTCGAGGCTTTCTCCCAGACAGCTCAGAGGGCTGCTGCCCAACAGGGGAGAGGAAACCAGAGAAAGGCTAGCTTTGGGTTTGTTTGGAGTTTTTCAGGTCCAAACGAAAGGGCATGTCCGGAGGGCTGAGCAACACCTGGGGCGAAGACTTCTGGTTTCCTTCTTGGCCACCAATCAGAGAGCCGCCCAGGGCGCCAGCATGCCTCCGTGTCTGCACGTCGGCTGCCTGTTTGCTTTCTCATTTTTTACACTTTTTGTATGTAACTCTACAATGCAGACTTTCTCTTCTTTCCCAGTTGTCTGGCAGAGAGATCTCTTTAATCATCCTCTCCCTATTCAGTGTCCTGAGGGTCCTTGTTGCAACATCTGTCGGTCTCTGGCTATAGCACCCCTCCATTGGGGCCTCACCACACACGTCCCTGCCAGGGGACCCTCCGGGCCTGCAGGAAGGAGAGCGCCTGTGTACTAGGCTGAGCTGTCCGCTCCCAAGCCTGTTGAAAGTCATTTCCAGAAAGCTCCAGAGTCCCCAGTGTTTCCCTCAATACGCTGTGGTCCTGGCCTGTGCCTGCCTGAAGAAACGCTTGACCACCGCTGCCTCTGCTGCTGGCCTGTGAGGGTGGGCTTGCTGTCTGGCTCATTCTGTATTCACAGCATCTATCCCACGTGGTCCCTGTGCAAGCGTGGACTTGTAGTTGTTTAAGTTATTCCTTGTGGGTTGATAGTGACTGCTAAAACCAGACACCCTCCGTCAGCCTCCTCCATGTAGCCCAGAGTAGCTGTATATCTGTGTGTGGGCCCCTTATTTGCATTGCTGAACCTAATCCATTTTCTAGTGGGGAAGTCCTCCGAGGGCATTTGGTGGTACTGAGTATGTTTGTTGCTCAGAAATGGGGGCTTCAGAGGACAGTGGAAGTCAAGAAAAGTATGAGTTCAAGCCCGTCTTATTTGCTTGCAGCACTGGGAGAAGGAGAAATGTGTTTTGGGTAAGGAACCTTCCACCACTGTCCATTCTTAACTATGCCAGTTCCTTGGTAAGGGCGTGAACGTTAGGATTAGGATCCAGGGCTGAGTCATTCCAGACGGAGAACCCTGGCTTCCTCTGTGCCTCATTTTCCTATCTGTCAAGTGGGTGACCTACCTAACCCATCCATGCTGCCCACCCATATCTCACAGAAATAATAGTGACAGGTTGAAAACAAAATGCCCCACTTCCCTTGAGCTGGCTGTAGTCGGCGGACTTTTTAAAAATCAGCTCTGGGTGTAGTAGGGGGGTTTGTGTAGACGGATGCTGGTGATGATTGACTGTGTGGGGAGTTCAAGATATATAAATAGGCCTTTTTTTTTTTTCATTATTAAACCCTGATCCCGAAGTGTTTGTTCTGTTAAGTACCTAGAACATTATGGACAAAGACAGGACATTGATGCTTACCCCTGAGATGCCTGTTGAGCAGGCAGAAGCTGAAGTCTAACTCTGATGTTGTGCATTGGTCCACAGGCCTGGGAAGAACTGATCCAGGGCTGACCTCCTGGCCTACATACCCACCAGGAAGCTCAGTGGAACCCACCTTTGCTACCAGCAACCCCTTGAAGGACCTTGCTAAATTCAGATCACTCCTGAGAGACAAAGGCTCTGGAGCGAATCAAGAATTCTGATTTTGGAGAAAGAAGAAATTTCTGGATTTGAGGGAGAACCCTGGCCTCCTCTGTGCCTCATTTTCCTATCTGTCAAGTGGGTGACCTACCTAACCCATCCATGCTGCCCACCCATATCTCACAGAAATAATAGTGACAGGTTGAAAACAAAATGCCCCACTTCCCTTGAGCTGGCTGTAGTCGGCGGACTTTTTAAAAATCAGCTCTGGGTGTAGTAGGGGGGTTTGTGTAGACGGATGCTGGTGATGATTGACTGTGTGGGGAGTTCAAGATATATAAATAGGCCTTTTTTTTTTTCATTATTAAACCCTGATCCCGAAGTGTTTGTTCTGTTAAGTACCTAGAACATTATGGACAAAGACAGGACATTGATGCTTACCCCTGAGATGCCTGTTGAGCAGGCAGAAGCTGAAGTCTAACTCTGATGTTGTGCATTGGTCCACAGGCCTGGGAAGAACTGATCCAGGGCTGACCTCCTGGCCTACATACCCACCAGGAAGCTCAGTGGAACCCACCTTTGCTACCAGCAACCCCTTGAAGGACCTTGCTAAATTCAGATCACTCCTGAGAGACAAAGGCTCTGGAGCGAATCAAGAATTCTGATTTTGGAGAAAGAAGAAATTTCTGGATTTGAGGAGATATTCGGATAGAAAGCAAAAACCCTCACACAGAGCAAGGGTGTGCATGTTGACCCCAACGGGCAGGGAGATGCATGGCCAGAAGTGACTTATAGCTGGAGACGACTTGTCATCCCATACCTTGCCCTTCTTGCTTGGGGAAACCCTTTCTTCTGCTACTGCTCATGAGACTCTCTCCCACCCTATTCCCTGGCAACTGGAGGGCCTCTGCCACACCCTCTCTTGCCCCCCACCTCCCTCGCTGCTGTGCCTTTGGACTCAGCCATTCTTGTTTGCTCCATTATCTTCCAGCCGGATACAGAGTGAATAGTTAACTACACTTGGGTCGAATGGGATCTTAATTTCTTGTTTCTGTTCCTTCTAAAGAACCAGTGTTCGTGTGTTGCAAGCAGCCTTTGATACTACCCCTCCCATTTATTTGAAGTCTGGCCTCCCTATTTCCAGAGTGATGCATGAATCAGTGTGAAGGTTCTTCAGGCTCTTGGGCAGATGTTAGGGCCATTGGAGAAGTCCTCAGGAGGGGAGCTGGATCGTGAAGACTGGTGCTCAGTGCGTTCGCTTTCTTTGTTGGGTTCACACACAGGTGTATACCAGGAAGAGCAAAAATAAACCCTGTCATTTGCTTCAACTATCTTCTATGACACAGAGATACAGTTGTGAAGACCCTTTTCTCTCAAGTGGTATTTGAGGTCCGTGTCAGATGATGGTGCTTCATGACAGACTAGCCACAGCAAGTGGGTTGGTGGTGTTTCTCAGAACTGTCCCTCCCCGACGTGTGCTGATGACACACACACAACCGACAATCGGTTAAGTCTTCCTTGTTCCTTTCACTCTGAAAGCCGTCATGTGCCTCTGGGTCTACCTTTCCTGCAGTAATGGCCTGATGCTTATGCTTGGTTTGGGCATTCTTCATTCAGACCTCTGTATCTGGTCACTTCGTTGGCCGCCTCACATCTATAGATGAATACTTGGACCAAGCACCAATCCTGACCAAATCAGTTGTTCCCAGCATGCTGGGGTTGCCTGATACTGACAAAAACCAAGGTGTGAGAACCAGGGGAAACCACATCTTTCTAAAGAGTGTGATGTGACTGGGCATGTGGGAGGCATTTAAGGTGTCAGGGATTCCTTGGATACAGTCCTACTCACACAGGTAAAACAAATGGTTCTCATTAAAAACAAAGTTCATTCAGAAACAGAAACTAGCCCAGCCAGTGGCGATGGTGGAAAATATGTAGAGTCATGAGCCAAGAACACAATTTTGCAACTTTGGTAGACCAAGACAAAGAGCTAAAATCTTGGGGACAGCGTTGTCTGGGGAGCACAAGAGTTGGCCCGAGGACTTCCTGAAATTCCTTTGAACTCCAGAATCCTTTCAAATATCAAGGGCATATCAACGGGCCATAAGTATGTACTTTCCAAAGTCTCCTAGATAACGTTTGGGTTCAGCTCAGATAGTGTTGAACCTCGCGGCTCATTCTTACCTTTTCAGACACTGACTTCATCTGGGACACGGGAGGGGAATTTGGAGGGGGTAAGGGGGAGGCGGACAAGAGGAGAGTGAGGCCAGCCCAATTTATTGGTGTTCATAACAAGTAAGCAGCACAGTCTGACAGCAGATTATACTCTTTTTTTATATTCTGTATTCTTTTTCAGTTTAGGAAAAGCCAGGTTTTCAGGATCACCTGGCATCCTGAAGTTGTGGCTGCTTGTTGGGAAGTTCTGCCTCCATCTTTCTGCTGAATGGCAGGGATGACTGTTGCGATGCTGGAACGTGGGCCTTCGGTGAGTCCACTCATCCTGTGTGGTGTGGCCCCATGGAGCCCCGACAGTCTAGGTTAGTGATGGGCAATCATCTAGCGACCATTCTCTCATTATTTATGACACCCCCTACACATCAGTGTTTGCCTGCAACTCTCACAACTGTTACCTCCATTTGAGAAATGCAAGCCCAGCTCCTTGGGAGCCATTTCCTTTTTTACAGATGAGCACATTTCAGATGGTCCCTTGGTTTACATCCCACATTCATTCTTTGGTTCCAGAAGAAGACCTGATTTTGTGCCTGTTAAGGCAGCAGTCCCCTCCTTTCTTATCTCCTTATCCACATGGAATCCCAGAATCCCAGCGACTGAAGCGATCTAAGACATTACTCTTATCTAGATACATCTCTGATGAATGCTGGAGTCCCTTTCAAACATCTAGAGAGGGGTCGTCTAACCTGGGGGAGCCAGCTGTGCCCCCTTTTCGGCAGGAGGGGAGAAGACTGTGAGAGAAAGCTGAGTGATTATCAGCCTGATGGGGAAGCAGTAGAACCTGAAAGAGTAGTTGATGAACTGCCACACTGCCACATGGCCACAAATGTCAATTTCCTTTTCCTTTTTTTTAGATTTTTGCCATAGGATGTGTGTGCTTGTTGGAGTGAGACAGAGAGAGACAGTAAGAGGGAAAGTGAGAAATCACGCCCCAGGGAGGATGGCTACCCCCACAATCCCTTTTTTACCACTTTCTTCCTAGGATTTTGGGCATGCACTCACATGCACTCAGCATGATTTTCAAGCTGCCAGACCGGGGACTTGAACTGCAGTGGGCTATGTGGGAGTCCAGTGCCTTAACCATCACACCACCTGCTGACTCTGAATGTCAATTTCTTAATGAGATCGGAATGTAATGCATTTTGTGCTCTCCCCCACATCTATTGGTTTCTCATTTCTGGATCCAGGTAGTGTGTTTTATATTGGTAAAAAACACGGGGTAGGGAGACAAAAAGTCTCTCATCTTAGTTCCTCCCATGTAAAATGAGAAGTCAGGCCAGGAGATTCCTGGAGCCTCTTCCAACTCTGACATCCAAGTGCTGTCATATTTGACACATAAGCCAGTGGTTTTCTAGGAGACCATGTCTTAAACATTTTCTTTTTTTTTTTTTTCGTCAAGAAACTGAAAGATTGGAAGGTATGATAGCAGGGTGAATAACTGTAGACTAGAGACCCTATAGGAGGGGGCAGGTAATGGTGGGTGGGTAATAGGGGGCGAGAGGGAAGGGATCAGGGAAAAACAAAACATGTAATAAACACAGAAGTGAAAAGTTATCTGTTGAGGATAATGCATATGGTAATCTCTTTGACTTGATAATATGCACTGTATTCATTCATGGGAAAAACCATGTACATCGTAAAGATAAACAGTGACTAAATGTGAGTTAGAAATAAATAAAAAATGTTTTAAAGATTTGAAATGTTTGTCTCCTATGAGAGTAGTATAGTAGACATTGCTCAAGGTGAAGTTACTTCATCCATGTATGCATCTTGCCTCGATTCATTATGAGCACATCTTCATTTCAGATAATCTCCCTGCCACCTATCCCCCGAGATTTTGTTCAGACTTCCCTCTGAGATTTTCCCATTGCATTGAAATTTGACCCACAGGAAAACTTTCATCCTCTTCAAATAACCCCAGAAATCCCCATAGGAAAATGTGAAGAGTCGTGTTGATGGAGGTTTCTCCCGGAGAAATGACCCTTCTGCTTGGAGGCTGCAGTTTAATTGGCACAAAGTAACCTTCGCAGTGACCACTGACCTTAGGTAAGACCCTGTGTGCCAGGCTGGTGGATTATATAGGCAGAGCATAGGTGGAGGGAGGCCTGAAAAGAGCCAGACACCAGTCCTGCTTTGGTTCCAACTAGTTCTAAGATCCCAGGTAAGTCCCTCTGGTCATTGCTCTGGGTCTCCCTTTCCTCATCTCTTAGTTGGGCCAGAGAAGGGAATGCAGTCAGTCTGGATGCTCCTTTAAGGTCCCTTCCTCTGGTCAAGTTCTCAGCCTTGCCCACCCAGCTGGTGTCTGGCCATTCCCTGCCCAGTAGCTCTTTCTTCCTTTGCCTTCAGCTACATAATGGGGAAACCTGACTGCCCTGCAAAGTTCATTACCAAAGACAACTTCAAAGCTGTTTGCACTCATCCGTTGTGCTGAACTCAAGTTTGTTGAGGGAGAAGACAAATAGACATACAAGCTGATGACAGGAGAGGTGGAGGGGACTTCTGTTTACCCCAGGGTGACTGGGAGGGGAAAAGCCCTGCCTGCCATTTTGACCAATAAATAAAAACTGGAAGCGCTGCGTGGCTAAAACTGTAGGGGATTTATTAGTTTGCTTAGTGAAAGGCAAATATTAAGTCTTAAGTTGACCCATCCTGGGACCTGCCTTTTGGCTTTTGTATGCTGTCCAGCTGATCATAGGTACTAGGGATTATTGAGTTCTGTTCAAAGTTTTCTTTATCTCTCTCTCTCTCTCTTTCTTGCGCATGCTTTTTTTTTTTTAAATTGTTTTCTGATTCCTGCTTTTCTTCCTCCTTTTCCCTACTCCTACCTTTCCTGGTAACTCAGGTCTGGATTTTGGAGGGGTGAGGAAAGCCAACAGTGTTGTCTTGCTCACAACAGTGTCTTTGTTCAGGAATCCAGCTGGCCTGGGACTGCCAGTGCCCATGCTATGCTGGATTTGGGGAGTAAGACCCAGGTGGTCTTCATGGGTCCACACCATCCTCTGTCTTGAACTCAACATTAGGTCCCAGGCTGTAAGGCAAAGAAGGCCTTGTCCCTTGTTCTACGTAAAATGAGTGTAATGATAAGCATGAGGAAAGGACAGATTTCAACGGTTTCTAAGTTGTAAACTTCCCATTGCAGGTGACAGATGATTTCAGCCTGATCAGGGCTTGTGACTGTCCATGAAGTGAAACACGGGGACTATATGGGCTGGAGAGCCACTACTCTATCCAGTTTCCAGGTATGAGCTGTGGGGAAACTAAGCTTGATGGAACTGTCTTTGCCCTTTGCTTAAAATATCCCCAGTTGTGAGTTAGTCCATTCTGAAGCACTGTAGGGGCAGCCCTGTAGCACAGTGGTTGAATGCTGTGTGGAAGAAGACAGATTCCACATGGCTGGCCATGGTTTGAATCCCAGTCCTGGTGGCTTGAAAAACATGCCAGGCACATATGCACGTGTGCCCAGGGTTCTGACAGGATAGAAGATTAGAGGAAGGGGGATTGCCCTGTGACCAGGCTCTTTTTCTTTTTCTCTCTCTCTGGTGTATGCACATGCCCTCTGATAAGTAAGTAACTAAATAAATAAGCAGGCAAGCACTGCCATTCTTAGGGACTTCAGTCTCACGGGTGGTGCTTGCTAGGATGCAGTATAGCAGGATGCCCCACTCTGAGTCTGACTCTAATGTCCTTTTCCATGCCCACCCCTGCTGCCTGTCCATGGAGGGTGCATCTTATTAGTCTGCCTAGGACATCAAGGTTCCCCAACCACTATGCATGTGGCCAAGAGTTGGGAATGTTCTGGAATTGCTTAACTGAGGACATTCCTCTCCTATTTCAATGATGATTTTGATTGAATTCAGCATGATTTTTAACCCTTTGGCAATGCTTCATGGAAGAGGCTATCTTTTCACAGATAGATATTGGGCACCTAAGCTACTGAGATCCTAAAAATCCTTCAAGGCTCATCTCAAATGCTCCCTTCTCTAGGAAGTCTTCCTAGATTCTCTTCCCTCTCAACTAGTTGTGATTTCTCTCTCACACATTCTTTTTATTTATTTGTAAAATGTCTTTTTTTTTCTTTTATGAGAGATACACAGAGAGACAGAGAAAGACAAGCACCCTCAACAGGGTCTCACGCTGCAGTCCTGCCAGCCAGCCAGGATCATGGGTGCATGTGTACACACCTGTGTCTATAGGTCGACTCAAGAACTGAACTCTGATCTTCCATCCATTTCCAGCATTGCAGAACATCGTGTTACTGCTGTGTCACCATCTCAGGGCCCCTGGCATATTCTTTTAAAGTATCTGACATCTTATAGGCACTCAGAAATACTGATCTTTTCTTCTAGGCACTTTAATATCTCACTTTAGCTCCCTCCTCCCCAACACTCTCTCTCTTTCTTTTCTATAATAGCAATACTTGTGTCATTCCTTACTCATTGAAATGCGTCCCAGCAATTCCCAGTCATGTTCAGGATCGCTTGGCAGGCTGTGCAATGGACATTTCATGTGCTTCCTCATTTAGCCATCAGAAAACAGGAACTTACAGGTATCAGTCACTTTGAAACCAAGTACTTTAAATGAGAGTTCATTTTCAAAGCCAAGGTAATAATGACCTCAAGTTCAGAGCATGGTGGCTTTTCCATGGTAGAGACCCAGGAAAGACGTTGAGTTGAGATGTTGAGTTTCCCCACTAATAGTGTATTACTGTGTGAACTGCCACATTTGCCTGGTTTTTTGTTTTCCCATTGTTAATCAATAAAGTGTTTTTTGAGAAGCAGAGAGAACTTGTTTATTGCTTATTTGGTTGGTTTCCGTGCACAAATCCTTCTCAAAATGGAATGTGTATGTTTTTTGTTTTGGCAGGTATCCATGGAGCTAGTTTCATTTTTAAGGTGGGAAAGAGAAATATAAACTCAACACTTTAGTTTAAAATTTTTAAAGATTTCTCTTAAAAGGGAGAAATGCAGAAAAAGAACACACACACACATACACACACACACCCCCCCTCAAGAGAGACCCTGCTCTCGGGATTTCACCTGCAGTGTGCTTAGGTAAGGCCAGCACATGTCAAATCAGCAACCAACCACAGTGGCTAGTTGAACTCACAGTTAGGATCTGCAAGGCCTCTGGGTGGGTCATACTGCCTACTCCTCACTCTGATAAGAGCTTTCCTAGCAGTTGCAAGCAGAGAAGTTGGACATCCTTGGGGTGATCTCTTGTCACAGGAGCTGGGCCGAGACTCAAGGGCTTATAACCTGGGGACCCAGAACAGAGGGAGAAGAGGCCTCGAGAGCAAGTGGGCCTAGACTCTGTTCCCACTTGTTCTCCCACAGAGAAGAGCATAAAGAGGAGGTTCGATGAAAGCAGAAATGTATGCCAAAGCTTCACCTATTTAGGGGGGAAAAGTTCTGAAAATTCACCCTCTTCTTACCTCAGACAAGTAAAACAGTTCGGACAAAGAGAATATTATTCGTGGATCATGATCACCAAGAACGGCCTCAACATGAAAGAAATGAGATGAATTCAGCCAAGGAAAGATTCGCTAGTTTAGATACTGGACGCCATTGTGTGCACCTGTCTTCCAAGCTGGTGGGAGGCTGGGGCAGGAGCACTCTCAGAAATACTTATGTCGGGGTAATATGGGGGTGGGTAATGGGGGACAGAGGGGAACAGGAGGGAAAAAAGTATGTTTAATTCCCCAAAAAATGTGAAGTTATTTGCTGATAATAACATATATAGTAATGTCTTTATCTTGACTGATATGCATGGTATTCATGCTGGAAAAAGCAATGTTGTACACTGTAAGGATGAATGTGATTAAATGTAAATTAAAATAAAATCTAATTTAAAAAAAGAAATATACCTGTCTTCGTATCTCTCCAATACCCCCCCCAAGAAAATAAAAATCAGGCAATTCAAGAAATAACAAAGTCTGATGGTTTTTCAGGGCTTTGACATTTTGAAGTTCTTTGCAAAGCTCATTTGAATATTACGATGATTTTGTGAGAGGTATTGAGACCTCTTTAGTTAGTTTTAAATTACCAGAGGTCACATGCACTTACCAGAGAGAGAGACAGAGAAAGAGAGATTGAAAGACAGAAAGTACCCCAATAGGGCATGGTCACACTGAAATCCCTCTGCCTTCCTTTCTCCATCCTGTGGGGATTTGGGGCATGCATGCACATGTGTGACATGCTTTTAAGCCAATGGGGCCAGGTTGTGAACTGAAACCAGCCACATGAGAACCAGCTCCCTTAACCACTAGGCTATGTGGCTGGCCCTGAGGCCTCATTTTCATAGATGAGGAAACTAGGACTAAGGGGGGGTTTCAGTGAGTTGTCATAGCACACACACCGTGTGGTGCCCCTGTCCCCAAGTACAGGCATTCCGACTTCTCCATGTTGTGGCTGTCACTCTATTAGTCATGGCCGGCTGCTATAACAGAAACTCTAGGTCCCAGTTTTCCCCTCTAGGGTGTTTCTACACTTCAGTTCATTATGAGCTGGCAGTGGTGGGGCAGAGGGCTTTTTCATGCAGCAATGTTGGGAGCCTTTCTGTCTTAGGGTACCATGCCCCTCAGGGCTTCCTCCTTTTCTGCCAGCAAACAGAGGGCTCTGCGACAGGTCAGGTTCGTGTTTGATGGCTCTAGTCTGGAAGGGACACCCATGGGCAGGAGTTGGTCACAAGGCCACACTTGGAACTGTAAGAGCTGGGAAATGACCAGCTCTCTGGAGGAAGGGTTGGGAGGAGAGGACCTGAAGGTTGGTGGTGCTGGCAGCTTCTGCCACATAAGCTCACCTCCTGCTGGGACCACTGTGGGGCAGTTTATTGGCCTTCATCACAGTGGCCACCAAGGCCTGTGAGTTCTGGCTTCTAGATGCCCATCGTCACAGGCCTGGGTAGGTAGCTTGACAGCTCTTCTACTTCAAATGTCCGAGACTTTAGACCCCTGCCTGGGCTTAGTGAGTCACGAAGGATAGAACAGAGGCAAAGCTCCAACAAAACTCCACTCGCCTCCAGTGGCGCAACCCTCAGTGAGGAACCTGCCTCTCTGTGCCTCGATGTTCTTTTTTAAAACAATTTCCTAGGGTCCTTGCAAGGTTTAAGTGAGTTACTACAGGCCCAGCACTTAGAACAGTGCCAGGAACAATGACCTGGACCTCTGGGAGGTCTTAGCTCTGAATGTGGAGCTACGAGGCCCATTTGCCTTAACTTTGGCACAGAAAGTCTCCATGCCCAAACGAGAAGCGGAAACTTCGAGTGTGGACCTTTGCCACTGCGTCTGTGTAGTCCAGATGTGCGGCGGTGTCGCTGGCCCTCCCCAACTGTGGTTGTTTTGTCTGGTATTGAGGGGTGAAACTAAGTCGCACACACCGGCCCTCAAAGAAGTGCCTTTTCTACTTCCTGGGCATTCTCGGTGTCCCATTAGTCTCATCTGACTCATCAGTCAAGCTTTGTTCTCCCAAAAGCCAACTCTCTCTGGAATCTGTGTTTTTGCTGACCGGGGAGACCTTGCAGAATGCTGCATTGGATGTATATGTTGGGTATGAAGTCCTCTCTGTTGCTTCCTCCACTGAGGGCTGAGAGAAGAGCGGATTTCCAAGCTGTGGGGAGCCTGCAAGCTTGACAGCCTTCTCCCCGTTTCCACACCCAGGTTTCGAATTACACCCTTCTCTTCACCCTACAGGCCAACAAGTCCCCTTGGCGGACCCCCTGGCCCAGGCGTTGGCTCTCCTCGCTGTGAGACCTCAGTGGCCCAGGAGTCTGGCACCAGCTTGGTCTGTTCCCTCTGGGCCCGCCTGGCACCACAAGAGAATGGAAAAGCTGGTCTGTTTACAGGCCATGGGTCCAGAAGAGCATTAAAAAATAAGGAGCAAATAAAATGTCATAAACAAATTTTCTTTCCAGTAAGGAGCGTTCCTTTCCCTGTCTTCCAACAAGAACCATTTTTCTCATGTGTTTGGATAAACTTTCATTCTGAGCAATTACCATTCCCAGGGAGGGGTGCCTGTTTCCGCTGGCTATTTATTTTGATTTTGATCATGCCTTTCCCTTCTGAGCATCACACACCTAGCAGTACAGAAAGCATGCTTCCTATCAGAGCCCAAGGAGCCACTCCTTCCCCTGCCCTGGGGCCTTCCCAGCAGCCCTTCGCCCTTGGGCGTCACCTGGGGTGCTGACATGGCGGGCATTTTACCCTGGCTGGAAGTTGCTCCTCTCCAGGGGATCCTAGCGCTGACTGAGTGAAAACGAAGGGGGGAGGAGGTGAAGCAGAGGAGAGGAACAGTTTCCAATAAAAGCGGAGCAGATACAAAGGAGTTGTGTGTGTGTGTGTGTGTGTGTGTGTGTGTGTGTGTGTGTGACCATCTCTCTGTGCTGCTCTTCACTGTGACCCCCTTGTGGGTTCTAGTGTGAGCAGAGAGCCACTGGTCTCATGTTTCCTGACCCCAGCAGGTAGTTCCTTGTACGACAGTTCATCCAGAGGGGGAAAAATACCTCATTTCAGCATTTTAATTTTTGTTTCTCTTGCTCTAAATCAGACTTTAGAGGAAGGGGCTAGAGGGGAGTTGCATTTTTCAGAGCCCAGAAATACATAAGACAATGAGAAGAAAACAGAAACAGAAAAACACCTTCGAAGAAGGCTTCTTGTTTGGAATGCACTGTTACCAGGGGTCTCTGTTTGCCTGTGTTTGACTGTCCCCTGTCCCTTCTTTCTTCCCCGCCTTTTTATTTTCCTTCAGGGTTAGGATGGAGAGGAGGGATGTCCACCCTCCGCTGCCAGTGATATGTGCTGGTGGCTCTCATTTTCCATTTAATTTCACTTTCTAAGTTTCTTGCCTTTGCCTGGTTGGATGGACTGACGACTTTCTCAGAGGTGCTGAACTCAGGGAGGCTGCAGAGAGAGGATACATCACAGGATCTGTTTGGCTTCAGATTCCGTAAGGTTGAGCTCATTGAAGGCCCAAGAAACTGGCTGGGGTGGAGGGCAGGTGGGCTGCACCAGCACTGCCTCCTCATGAACCCCTCAGCCTGTCTCTGCCCTTCTGATAGCCA